ACTCGTGGTTGATCTACCTTTCGTGGCTCGGTCCATGTCCATCCTGAACCGCTTCCGCCGCCTAGGTCCTCTACTCTTCCAGAGTAAACCAAGATCAGGAACATACTTGGGGCCATCATAAGTAGGCCATTGACTCTCGTCAAGAAATGGCTCGAACTGAGGATTCTAGGTGCTCATTAGGCTCCTCAAAGAGAACTCCGCGGCCATACGGGGAGGGACCTCAGCGTCAACACGTCTAACGCGATAGGCTGTAATCATGTGGGAGCAAGGCCTATGGTATATGGTCAGTTTTTCACACGTACACTTGTTCTCATTGATCACTACTTTATGTTTTCGAGCACCCCGGTCTTCACCACCAATGTTAGTTCCACCACCCTCTAGAATCTCATATCCATGGTTGATCGGATCGAAACATGAACCCTTCTGTCGTTTAGACTTTTTCTTTGAGAAAGCTAGTTCCTGATATGCTAAAAGTGGCCAAGCTTTGCCTGCTGTCCATAGAGACCTCGCATGCTTCTTCCTCGAAACGAACCAAGCATTCAATTTGTAGAAGGTGAATGAGGCAATAGCAGTCACAGGCAGACCACGACAACCTCTTAGAAGGCTATTGAACATCTCTACCATGTTACTAGTCATGAAGCCCCATCTCCAACCTCCGGTGTCATATGCAAGTGACCACTTATCCTTCGACGCCATCAACTCACTCAAGAATTGCCTGCCATCAACATTTGTGGCTAACTTCAGGGCATCTAGCTTGTCTTTGAATAATTGAACCTCTTGCTGCCTACAAACCTCCTCAAATAATTTGAAGTTGTCCTTTGTGTGATCACGCCTTATAAGATTCTGAGCACGGTGTCTGGTGCACCACCGGTGATGTATTTGGCCGTAACCAGAAATCTCTTGTTCTACGACATTCAGAATGCCAGCATGCCTATCGGATATCACACAAACATCACGTCCCAGACCAATTACCACTTGTCTTACTAGCCTGAGAAACCAACACCAACAATTTGTGTCCTCCTTCCGAACAATCGCAAAGGCCAATTGCACAAGCTGGTCTTCTGCATCTATCCCAATACAAACAAGCATTGTGCCTTCAAATTTCCCTGTAAGAAAGGTCCCGTCAATTGAGACGACAGGCCTACAATGCTTGAATGCTTCAATGCTCTACCCGAACGCCCAAAAGGCCCTTCCAAATACCTGGCTACCATTCCTTGTTTCACCCTCCTTAGGTAAATACTCGAAGTGCATCCCAGGATTTATAGCCCTCATTGCGTTCAACATTACAGGGAGGCGCTCATAAGCTTCTTCCCAATTTCCAAATATTACTTCCAGTGCACGCTGCTTTGCCCTCCATGCTTTTCCATACTTTACATAGTAATTGTACCTTTGGAAGATGATCTCAACCAACGCGGACACCGTAATGGTTGGCATATGCTTCACCACGGGGCATAACTGCCTTGCAATGAACCTAGAATTGAGTTGTAGATGGTTCTATTCTGCCTCAGCAGTGGCACAAACATGTGGTTGCTTCACTGAGGTAATCTTCCATTTGCCTGCCTTCGTCTTCCTAGCACATACTCTCCAACCACACTGTTGTTCTTCACAAGCAACAGTGTACCTCTTCTCCTTGAATGAATTGATGACCCTAAAAGGTCAGTTGTGTACAATGGAGTACTCTTGCAACCATGATTTCAACTCATCCATGGTAGCAAACAATATGCCCTTCCGTATGATGAGGCAACCACTAACATCAGGCACTGTTGTATCACTTGGCCCACCATTAGCTACTGCCCTATGACCATGGCTAAGGTCCTCGAAATCAACTATGGGATCTCTCCAAGGCAAGACCCTAGACAATATCTCTATTTTCCTAAAATTGAGACGACCAACAGGGCGATCGTCATCAGAGTCTTCGGCTATCTCCTCTACGAAGGATTCATCATCTCCAGCTATCTCCATGTCAAAACGGTTCGTAGCCCTAGCATCACCAAAGTCTTCTTCACCACTAAGATCATCTTTGTCGCTAAGCTCATCCTCAATAGAAAAGTCTCCGCTAGCGTCATCCAAACCTTCTTCTGCATCACCAATTACATAATCATCATCCTCTTCATAACTATCATGATTGCCCTCACCATCGGCAACCAGATTCTCCTCCTCATCTCCACCGCCCTCAAACCAACCTCCATCACGCTTGAGCGATCCAAACACGGGGGAAGATGGGCATGCTTCGAAGTTATCATTTCCTAAGCCAGACTCCTTACTTACTACTAAATCCAAAGATCGCACTTCTGAGGCCAATACAACTGCCTTGTAATCATTCCATTCAGACTCGCTTGTAATTTTGAGCAACCGCTTGATCCGAGGACCCTTCGACGACCCAACATCTATGACATCTTCAAACTGAACATGCACGTCTCCTTCATTCCAGCCTAACTTAACCTTCACTCGCTCCACTAACTGGGTCAAAGATGGTGTTTCAGAAAAAATCAACAACTCCTCACACATGTTCAGAAATTCCAAACTATCATCTCTTGTCCTAACAATACGGCCTCCATGATGTAACCTCACTAATTTATCCATCTACAGCCATCACACAACAAGTAGTGTCATATATCAATATATCATGCAAGTTTCAATCCAATAAGTAGAAACTAAAATATATCATTTCATCTTTTTCAACCCCAACAACATAATCATTTCTAGTCATAAAAAATTGAAATCTAGTGACCAACAAATAACTAAAATACATACTAACCCTAATGACCAACAAATAACTAACCCTAATGACACCTACAATAAACAAAGAACCCTAATGACCAAAATAACTAGAAACCAAACTAACCTAACATGTTCAGCACATAAAATAGTTAAACAACAATGCACTCAATCAACCTAAGCCATACATTTTGCAAATGCAAATACACATATACCAAAACACCATACACCCATGATTCCACATGATTAGAGACAATGCAAGCACATCTACGTGGATAGATTGGAGGAGGGGAGGGACCATTACCTCGAGGAAGCTTTGGGAGACGAGATCGGGGCACCTAGGGTCGCTTTTGGGAGTTAGGGTTTCGTGGGGGCGTGGGGGGAGCCGAAGAGCAGAGCCGACACAGGGTTTCAGAATGGAGGGAGGAAGAAGAAGGGGGCCGCGGCGTGGCTTCAAGAGTCCAGACCTCGGCGTTCAGTCGGGCCGCGCCGAGTCTGGTGGCTCGGCGTTAAGTGACCCCACGCCGAGCTGTCGGGCCGCGCGCCGGATGGTGCCAATAGTTCGGCGTGTAGTCCAACAGCGCCGAGGTTGGGCCTGTGGCGTTGGCTGACACAACGCTGACGTGTCGGACCCCATACGCCACCGTGTCGCCATCGACTAGGGTCGTCCGTGATGTGGCAAGACCTCGGCGTCGTGTCAGTCGACGCCGGCCCTCATACCTTGGCGTCATGTTCTAAGACACATAAAAATGGTCTATTTTTAGCAAATGTTTTGACATAGGTCTTTTTATAAAAAATGTTTTTAAAAGGGACCAAAATGCAAAAAAAATCACGGAATTGGGGATGCATGTCCTAGACTCCTAGGATGACCACTAGTACGGAGGATCCAGGCGGATCGACAGTCTAACGCCATCTTCGTACGGAGGATCCAGTGGATCGACAGTCTAACGTCATCTTTGGGCTTGTTTATTTTATAAGCCGTATTTTTTGAGCCAACAAATAGTATTTTTCTCTCACACCAAATCAGTCAATCGTACTTTCAGTCATGGTTTATCAGCCAAACAAGCCCCCAACCACGGCTGGCTTTCAGGTTCTGCTAGCTACCCGACGTGCATGCATCAACAACCGCACAAAAAGCTAGCTACACACGCTGCCACACGGGGAAGGGGAACCCACTGATTCCACTTCCCCCCGCGCGCGCGGTTTGATTTCCTTTCCTGGTACGGAGACATCTCATACTAAGTACACTAGAAAAAAGGAGAAAATTGCACTTTTAACGGTCCAAACAACGTGCTTCGCAAAACTATCATCCCAAAAGTTGCTTTTGTAAATATAGCAGCCAAAACATTTGCCTCTTGTTTTCTCTACCATTTTCCCTTTTTTTCTCCTTTCTCTTTATTTCTCCTAAAACCTGCCACCTAAAAGGACGAATTTGCCCCTGTGCTGATTGACGTGGACTCTCAGCATTGGGCGCCGGTCGCCGCTGGCATGGGCGTTGGCTGGCTGCTGCGCCTGCATCTGCATGTGCCTGGCTGCCTCGCCTGGATGTGCCTTGCTTCGTGTAGGCTGCATGTTCATCACGTACTTGTGTACGACATGCAGTAGGGTCGGCCTCGGCCTGTCGTGCAGCAAGGCCAGAGTCGATGCAGCGGTCAGCAGGGCTCTCACCGTAGAAATCACGTCCCCCATCAGCGATGAGATGCTATGCCTTAGACGGCAGAGGCACGTCGCGTGGCGGCGGCACATCGTCGTCCGGCAAGTGCATGTCGAACAGCAGCGGCACGTCGTCCATGTGAGGGCTCGCGGAAGAGAAAAAGCGGCGGCGGAGATAGGGAAAGACGAAGTGACGTGGCATCAGCTGCCTCTTCGTTACATGAGTTTGCCCAGAGGCAAATTCGTACCTTAGTTGGCTGATTTAGATGAAATAAAATATAAAATAGAAAAAATGGAAAAATGGTAGAGAAAATAAGAGGCAAATGTTTTGGCTACTATTTTTACGAAATCAATATATGGGATGCTAATTTTGTGAAGCACGTTGTTTGGACAATTTTCTCAGAAAGAAGGTGATCCGACCGCCGGCGTTTGCGTCCCGATAACCACAGGCGCGCCAAACCGCGGGCTCCGGCCGCCACCACCTGCTCTGCCGCACCCATCCATCGCTGACGCGCGGGGCTGTGACTGGGAAAATTTATATTAAGGTCTTGTGGGTACCCAGCTACAGATGCTGCACATTTGGTCATTTGCTATATCTGAGGCTCCTGCGCGCGGCTTGGTCGGGTGTCATGCGGGGGATGCCGCAGGAAGCCGTGGTGACGACGGCGACGACGACGACGACCATGGACGGGGGCAAGGTGGCGGCGCTGCTGGCCATGGCGGCCGCGCTGCTTCTGCTGCTCCCGCTGGCGCTGCCCCCGCTGCCTCCGCCGCCCACGCAGCTGCTGTTCGTCCCCGTCGTCATGCTGCTGCTCGTGGCGTCCCTCGCCTTCCGCCCCACCGCAAGCGGCGGCGGTGGCACCAAGCTCGCCGACGCCGACGACGGGTCGTTCGGGACTACTGGGGCAACTGGATCACCGCACCTATGCTGACGATCGACTCACAAGTCGGAATCAGTTCGCACGCATGCATGCGTGATGCCTTGGAGTCGGATCAGAGCGAGGATAAAAATGTACAGGGTAAACCAGTAGAGTACTTAGGTAGCTTAGCTGTAGCATGAGTGTGTGAAACAGTGCTCTGGTTCTTCTTTCAGTTCTCATCAGGTGATTGATGCAGCTTGATCGATTCTTTTCTTGACCTGGTTACCATCAGGTGAACTTTACGGGACGCAATGCGAGATCGCATCTCAGTATCTGACACGCGGCAAATGGGACTCCGGTGTATGCTCGCGCCACGTCTGCTCTCAGCCTCTCACCAACAGGCCGGGCTGCCTTCCGTTCTCTGTGGAGTGTGGACGACCGCGAGCCTGCTTGACAACAGGCCCAGCGCACAAAACTCTGCCGCGTCCGCAAACGCGATATAGGCCGGGTTGAAACAGATATACAGCCTAAACGTCAATGTCATCTCCGAGAGTTTCTTTTTCTTTTCTTTTTTGCCAAATTATTGATTACCAACAAAAGTGCCCATACATTGCAACGGAAGGAAAAAAAAACTATCAAACATTCGATCTGTTCGCTTCAGCTTGCTGCATAGCTACAAAAGCCGCAACAGCTTAATTTGTATATATACTACTTTTGATATTGTGCGTGGTTGTTGCAGCAATCACAAACAAGCAGGCTGATAATGAAAACAATGATGGGCAATGTTAAATATCTATTTATTTTTTGGTAGAGTTAGATATCAAGCTCTGTGGCTTCTTTTGAGGACCCACAAAATTATGTAATTTTAATATCTTATTAAAGTAGGCAAGGGGTTAATCGTCATTGTGTCTCGATTTTCACATGTCAGCCTTACCGAGAGTTGCACTATTATATGACGACAACTTAGAGATTTGCGCTGGCATGGGCAGATAGCTTGAAGAAACATTTATTTTTATTAGATTGGATTGGATTACAAAGTGTTCATCAAAATTTAAGTTTATATTTTGATTAGTTAGGTCATCAGTCGATTCATACTATAATAATAATTTATTCCTAATTAAAATCAACAACTTAGTAATAGAATTATTTATTTATTATAAATAAGGGTAAACGAATAAAGATCTGTAATATTGTATTTGTTATTTATCTTATTTTTATAATAAAAAGCATAGTTACTTTTTTTGGAAATAAAAAACAAAAAATAAAATAGAAAAGTGACAAAAAAACGACAGGTACATTGCTCTAGAAGTGACAAAAAAAATGGTCAGGACCCCAACGCAAACACCTACGTACGGGGAAAGAAAAATAAAACGAAGCAGCCGGTCAAGAAATGGAAACGGAAACAAAAACAAAAAAGACTTCGATCGAACATTATTCATAACCAGGCTGGATGCGAATAAAACGCTGCTGATTAGGTTGGACAAAAATCTAGGGGTGGCAAACATTTTGCCTCTTTATTATTAGGTATAGATTCAAGTGGTCAAAATGAATAGAAAACATTTTGTTTTGCCTTTCATCAACAATTATTAATTATTGGTTTAAAAAAAATTAAACTAGAGTGAAATCGTGCGCCACGAAGAGAACCAGAGGGAAATTGACGGTAGGGTGACATAAAAAACGAGAGTCGAGAATACATGAGGGTCCAATTTTTCCTTTTTTTTCCTAAAAAATGATTTTAGGAGTTCAATTAAAGAGCTCTCAGAGATGGAAAAAGAGAGTTGCCATGCAGCTTACACACGCCATGCGCCCATGTCCACATATCTGATCAACATCCGGACCGTATCCGTGAAGGTTGACTCTAATACTATTTGTAATGTCCCAGAGTTTAGACGGTTCAGATCTATTCTGCATACTGAGTGAACCATAGCCTACCATGAACCCGCTTACGTTTTTGTCTCGTTTCACGTAAAAGGAGTAACCCAAGGATGGGCCTTATATGTTGATCTAACCACCATCAAGGCAGCGCTAAACCTCCACAATCTCACATCAACACACATGCATGAGCGACCCTTGGCTAAATTCAAATTGGCCAAATGTCGCATTCTTCGACAACATAGCGCTCGAGAGATTGAAATGTTCATTCAGAATTTGTCTTCAACCATTCCATTCAATATATTTGTGCCTCTCAAACACTGTGGATTGCCACATCATGATCATGGAGTGATTGCTGACTTGCTTCCACCCAATAAGGCTAAGCGCTCTCTCTCTCTCTCTCTCAATAGAAAAGATCAATTACCACCGTACCAAAGGCTTTTTGGTGACAAAAGCAATGACTTATATTATCTTGCCAATTGCGCTTAACTAGACTATCCTTTATATCAAAATAATGCCTCGAGATGTAGGTACCAAAGGAAGATGTTAATTGTATATCAAAATAATGCCTCGAGATGTAGGTACCAAAGGAAGATGTTAATTGTCAGTGACACTTTCAATTTCCACAAAAATTTATTAATATTTGGGACATCATAATCAATCAATTCAAGATAATGAGATTTCAATGAGAACAGCCTGTTTGAGTGTAAATTCCAGTAAAGCTGATCTTACTCTTTTGTTAGCGTAATATTAGTAACTAGAAGAATGTCCCGCGCGTTGCTGCGGCAATCGCTGATGAAATTACACTACTGATATTTACTAATATGAATGAATAAATATCACAACACGTGTTAGTGGATGATTTTTAGCATTCTTATGTGGACAACTAAATATATGTTAGTAAATAATGTGGTTTGCTAATGTGAATACCTTGAATGAAGACATAATGACATGTGTTAGTTGGATGTGTTAGTGGATGCTGATATCGACACTTTGCATGGCATGATAAATTGCTAGTGCATGTGCTAGTGGATGCTGGTGTGAACACTTTGCATGGCAAGATAAATTGCTAGTGGCGTTTGAAAATATAAGATATATAGATATAGATATAGATTTGTGGAAGTATAGCACTCTATGCTATCAATTTTGGCCCTAAAGAGGTCGCTCCACTAAGCTAGATTAGGAGAAGAGGTAAGAACTTCTACAACAGTATCATGTTTATCGCGATATTATATAACTAAGGATATTGTTGTCGCAGGTCGTATGTCTCAACCAATTATCTTATCAGGACCTAATTTTGTGAATCACCATTTATTTTTTGAAGATTTCAAAAAGAAGGAAATCCCATTTTACCTTCATCAAACTATACCAGAAATGTGAGTCCCTATTTTCCACTAAACCTATTTGAGGAGCTTTAGCTCCCAAGTATTCGTTGCTTAGCGATTGTTGACATATCCCATCAATAATGAGTAGTTGAAATAACCATACGCTGAGCAATGCAATATTTTTAATATCTAAATCTTGGATTCCTAAACCCACTGTTCTCTAACTATGTCTAATGTCTGCACATAACATTCCATTTTACTAGGTGTTTTTTTTTTTGCCATCAGTGTGCCAATAAGGACCTAGACGGATTGTCTTGGTACTATAAAGAAAGACATCATATACAAAGGCAGACTAATCAGCGTGAGACGCCCACCTGAAAAATATGTTTGCTTTTCTAGCTACTTTCTTCTCAAATCGCTGCTCGCTCTTTTCCAATCAACATTACTCAGTTCTCTATAGTGAATATGTATGCCTAAGTAACAAAGGGACCGAATTCTCATTGTGTGCAGCCAAACAATTCAGTGTAACTAAACCTTTTTTTGGTTTTTGCTTCTCCAAAATAGAACATTTCACTCTTGTGAAAATTGATTTTAACACACCGATAGTTGCTCCAATGTGCATAGCAGTAGCTTCATGTTACGAGACCACTCTAGGTCATGTTTCATGAAAAGAATTGTGTCGTCATCATATTTTACAACAGGAAGATCGCCATCAATTAGACATGGCACTACCCCCCCCCCACACCCCTACTTGTTCATCTGCTTTGGCTCCATTTATCAATGTGGCTAATATGCTAGTTATGATTTTAAAGAGTAGATGAGCTAAGGGCACTCAGATTGCAGAAACTACCGTTTTTCTATGTGCATTTATTACCCTGCCACATCAACATTTTACCGACGTGGAAGGCAACTTAAGGAGGAGAGAGAAGGAAATTGTTTCGCGCAAAACGAGAGCGGTAATGCTCTCTATCGAGCGTCCGGACGACCGGACGGGACAGACCCGCCTGCCCTCGCCCTCGCGCCTCGCGCCCTTTGCGCCTCAGTGCCTCGCGCCCCCACCAGCGCCTCGTGCCTCGCGCTGCTCTCGCCTCGCGTCGCCCGCGCCTCACGCTGCGCTCCACCGTACCTCGCGTCTCCCGCCCAGACTCTCGCTGCGCACAACCGAGGTCCATGGACCGTGGGTGACCTTCGTGCCTTGGCGTTGAGCTCCACGTCAACGAACCTCCATTGGGCGGCATCAAGTAGTTGAGCACATGTTACAACCATATGTTTCATACGTTTCAGATGTATGTTGCATATGTTTTATTTGGATGTTGTAAAAGTAGATCTGGTATTGCATATGTTGCAGTGTCTATACACATATGTTGCAAGTGTATGTTCAAATGTTTCAGCTATTTTCAAACGTATGATGTCAGTTGTTTATCTGGATATTGCATATGTTGCACTGGCTATACACGCACGCTGCAAGTGTATGTTTTCAAATGTTTTAGCTGTTTTAAATGTATGTTACAAGTGTTTTATCTGGATGTTGCATATGTTGCAGTGGCCATAGACGTATGTTGCATGTGGTAGAACCGCCTGAAATAACATGCTTTCGAAGGCGCTCGTCTTCCACTAGACAATAAGCACCTCGAAAGTGAGCTACATCGGACAGTTCCGTCGAGCACACCCCAAGAGAGAATTCGAACAATCCACGTTTTACATCCATAATTCAATAATGAGTACGAGCTTACAATACTTAGTCCATTTCATACAACAAGAGTTCTTGGAAATTATTTATTACAATACTAGAGTTCAGAGTGCGATAATTAAACAGTGGAATGAAAATAAACATCTAGCAGAAACAATAGAGGGATCTGTCAATGACCACCAGAA